CTGCATGCTAGCTCTGTTATGAAATCCATGTATCATTATGAATGATACTAAACTTCCTAGTCTTATGTCGTTATGGGAATATCGACATAATAAGACTAGTATGATGTGTGATTGATGATCATAGCGATGATCATAGGTATTGGATACGATCACAATCATAGGTATTCGTTGGAGAACAGAATATGGGATTGACCTGCATGAGATTGTCACATGGACTAGCGTCATGACTTGAATCTCATACGACGATTCCATGATTGGATCCTAAGACCTGAGATATCTACGGAATCCAACATGAGGAGTTGCGTGCTTTGAATACGTCAAACGTCCTGCGTAATAGGAGGACTATAAAGGCGTGTATCAGGTACGAAATGAATCATGTACTGGATTGTAGATAGTCAAGACGGGATTTGTACCTCTCGTAAAAGAGAGAGATATCGCTGGGCCCCTCGTGTGAGCAAGACTGTAGAAATGTGTGGCCGCACTATAGACGAACGTCGTCTATTTCAGACAGTCGAACTCAGTGAACGAGAAAGCAGTCGAATCAGATAAGGTGGCTTGTCCATGCCTTATGTTCGACATATGATATCGCGATACAAAAGGATCATCAACCGAATCATCTCTGGCGTTCGTAAAGATCACGAACAAACTCTATTCGAGATAGGTAGTCATAGTGTCTTGCTAGAGACCGCCTATGACTTGTATTCCCGGAATGAAGATTCTGTGTTTTACTGCTATTCCGGATGAGCCTACAGGGTCACACACAATAGGGATGAAGATTCTGTGTTTTGCAGTCGAGACCGAACGTTCTGCCAGCCTGGAACGTCCGTTCTACCTCCAGAACGAACGGTCCGATGTCCAGATTCCGAAATTTTTCGTTTTCTAGGTCTGATTACGCAACCGTTGCTTAATCTGATCAACTGTAACTCAAATAGACATGATTTGTTCTTATGGATGGTCCATAGTGAATGAATGCATGTAACTTGATCAAGATATTGGATATGCTTGATTTAGTGGGAGCTTAGAGATTGGGGATACATAATCGAATGGATGGTCTATTCAGATTATGAACAATCGTTGCACAGAAACCGGTTAGATCTAGAAGCTCTATAAGTAAAGCACTTGTCAAGGCCTCGATCGTACGTGTCATGGGCCATGCCAAAGCTGGGTGTGCCGTATTATCTTGGTGAGGCAAGATGGAGAAATGGTGGTTCTCATAGCTTGAAAGTAGATGCTTGATCTAGGTGCGGTTTCGAAAATCCCTTATTCATGTAATGCTAAGTGTGTACCTCCCATTACTAGAGCGCCTGCCAAGGCATCGATCGTCCGTAACACGGGTCATGCCAAAGCTGAGCGTGTCGGATTATCTTTGTGAGGCAGGGTAGCAAATCGTGGTTCCTGCAGCTTGAATATGGTTTATCTTGGGTTAAGTTGTCAAGTTTGACTTGAGACTTAATGGTACAGATGAGACGAGTATGCAATGATATTTGATATCATAGTCTCATAAAGGATCTAAGAGTCATATTAGATATGATTGACATTAGATGTCCACCTAAATAGCATAAGGATAGGTGTAACAATTTATTCTTGTGTGAAATACAGATCTTAGTCCCATATTGAAAATTATTGTAGGGTTAGTTTTCCTTATGGGAATATAGCTCATCTTTGCATCTATGTTGTCATTATTTGATGATGGACTAGCTGGTAGTGGATCATAGATAGATCGATACTGATTGATGATGGACTAGCTGGTAGTAGATCATTAATAGAATCTGCATTTGGTTTGTTCTGTTTTGTCTTTTTTGTAGGACATGGCGTCAACCGGAAGCGTACCGAGTTTGACGATGCGATCTATCCTTGAGAAGAATAAATTGACTGGGACAAACTTCTTAGACTGGTATCGTAACTTGAGAATAGTTCTCAAGCACGATAAGAAGTCATACGTCCT